AGGACAGGTCTGAATTATCACTCTAAAATTGGTCACCTGTGTGCTGTATCCGCCTCCACTTCAAGATGAAGAAATGCTACACTGCCAATGTAAAAGAAATGAAAACTTTCTTTTCAAACTCTTGATATAATAATTCTACTTAAAGAGTGCCTATTCATATAACAATAAAAATGTCCCAATTTCACATACACATAAAAATTGTTCCTCCTAGGAATAAATAAAGACCCTAAACACATAGTCATATCAACTCTCTCCTGGGTCATATTCTTTATAAAATAAGATTACAAAACGTTAGAGGCCGAGTAAATTTAATACTTTTAGCTGATGAACTACGTTCTAGGTTTACTGATGTTTGACAAAACAGGAATTTTTCAACATAGTTTACACCAATTCAAATTATCCAATTAAGCAGTTTCCTTCCCTAATTTATAACTAGAAATTCACAAGGTTTGCCATCAGTTGAAGTGTTGTAATAATCTGGGTGAACCAATTTATGACATCTGATGAAAATGGAGAATACAGCTTTATATTATAGCAGAAAAGTAATTTAAATATTCAGATTTATATAAGCTAACAGATACAAAATCATCTGCATAGCTTTAAAAGTTGTATTGCAATGAGCAGTGTTTTGAAAAAGGAAAATACCGTATTTTCCAGCGTATAAGATGACCCCCGACTTCAGAGAAGGTTTGCATGGTTAGAAAGTTGTCTTATACGCTGGAGGATACGGTATTTTCCGGCGTATAAGACGACCCTTGACTTCGGAGAAGATTTGCATGGTTTAGAAAGTCATCTTATATGCCAGAAAATACGGTATATTTTTGCTATATCTAAATAAAATATACTTGAAAATTAACTGGCTAACATGTTATTTCATATACATCAGTGGTTCTCAACCTTTCTAATGCCGTGACCCCATAATACAGTTCCCCATGTTGTGGTGACCCCCAACCACTTATACATCACTGGGTGCCAGGGGCATGGCCAAAGAAAAGGGGAAAAAAATGGCGGACAGCCTTGTTTGGCGACCCCCGTGAAATGGTCGTTCAACCCCAAATGGGGTCCCGACCCACAGGTTGAGAACCACTGATATACATTCTACCTCTCCTGTGATTATCACTCTTATTTCCTTAAGGCTTTATATGGAGAAAAGCCAAGGTAAATGAATGACCTTCAAATTAATATGCTTCAAATATGGCTTTTGGACATGCCTAAGCAATATATTAAGATGCATGTTAACTATGATAAAATCATTGATTCAATGCATTAAAGGACAATTCTTACTGAAATATGTCCAATATAATATAAACCCAATGTCAAATATTTAAACACAAAAGCTACTGGAAGAAAGAAATTGCTGGTTTATCAAAAAATAAAACTTAAAAAAGCACATATGGTATTGCTAGATTTTTTTTTTAATTCATACAATCACATTTAAAATCCAATGGTGTAGTTACAGAAAACTTGCTTGGAACTTACAGTTCAAAGTAGACTTTTAGTACTGTTGCTGCTCTTTCCCCTCTTTAAAAGTGCTCTGTAGGGATGAGTCATTGCTAACATTACATCATTTTATCTAGGGAGGGGCCTGATTTCTGTAGTGAAAATTACAACTTCTCATACAAAGCATATATCCTCTAAGTTACACAGATAATAGATAAGATTGAAATATTTTACTTTTCCAAAGTACTATGATCAAACACACTTTCCATTTACCTTTAGTCAATTGTAAATTATTTGAACACTGACATTGTCAGCAAGACTTAACATGTTATTGCAATATCTAAACAACATGCTAATTTCCAGGTATAATGTTTTAGAAAAAAGAAAATTATTCTACTGATTTTCTAAATATGGCAGTACAACAGATATGAGATTTTAAAAAACACATTAAAACATGGAGTTTGCCTAAACAATTTATCCACTCTAAAATGTTAAGAAAAAAATTAAAACAAATTCTTACCAACACATCATTACAGATGTCTCTTAATTCAGTCTCAATTTTCTCTCTGTATTCTCGAGCCATTTGCTGTTTTTTCTCAGCACCTTCTGTCTTTTGTTCAATACTTGAGACAACTCTCCAAGATGACCTTCTTGCTCCTACAACATTTTTGTAAGCGACAGAGAGAAGATTCCTCTCCTCATTGGATAATTCTGCTCCTTGCTCAGTCACAGACTTCATGCAGGCTGCCATATCATCATATCTCTCAGCCTGCTCGGCCAGTTTGGCCTTCTGCACCAGCTCGTTTTTATCCATGCTGATTTCTCTACAGAATGAAAAATTTCAAAATATTATCAAATATCTACCAAAGAAAAGTATTTGGCATTGAGTTTGTCTCTTAGCAAGGGGCATGGACAAATTGTTTAGGCTCCAATCTTGTATGCATGAAAAACACATGCAACTGAATTTGATTAGCTTTAATCCAAAATGAGTATAAGATTGCAAACTGAGTTCCTATAATTTTGTCAGAATAGGAAGAAAATAATTTGGATCTCTGCAATTTTATAAGATCTCCAAACAAGGAATGCAAAGCATTCCCTTGGAAGCTTCAGCCTTCTATCCCTAGATGATCCTGACTCTTTTTGCTATTTTGAGACAACCATTTTGGAAGTTTGCAATGTTAAGAATTTTGTTGGACAATGTCTTGTGAAAGTCAATTCTTTTTCAAATGAAACTCAAGTTATAGATAGTATCAGCTTCTTTACACTCTTACTTCCTTATACACAACTAAGAAATTTTTGATTATTTATCATTAAATTTAAAAGCATTAAATGTAACTACTATATAGCTAAACCAAACAGATTCTAAAATACATGTTAACATTAGAATACACAGCTATTACATTGGACAAAACTCAGTTCTATTTAAATATCTAGGATGAAGATGGAAGTGCTACAATCTACCCTGCTCAGGTTCGAAAAACTTTTGATTGTAATCTATCACAATTTTAGTATTTCAAAGAATGATTACTTCTGAATTTTCTTATCTATAATAAAATTTAATGCTAGAGAATTCTAAAACGGGAAAACAATATTTTACATTTAAGTGGTTCTGTGCCTCACTTGCAAGGGATGATCGCGTACTTCTGCTTTTTAAGTGAAAGGGAACAAGTTGGGGGGGGGGGGGAAGAAACGGACCAATTCCCTGTAGGGCAGACGCTGCGAACCGACTGTATAAAATGGTGCTGCTCATGTGGCCACGGGTATGTTGCTGCATTGGCACAGCTCGGAAGGAGACCGAACGGCGAGGCTACGGCGCACAAAAACGAATCCGACCGAGATGTGGGCGAGGAGGAGGAAGAGGACAAGATAAGCCAGGCCAGACTTTGGTCGCTCCTCCCTGCGCCGCAACCGCCCGCCCGGTTCTCAAGACGTGAAGCGCCTTGTCTGGGCTCTTTGTCATGGCGGATTCGTGTCAGAGCCCAGCCCACTTCTGTGCACGTTAATTCCCCCTCACCTCCGCCCCGCGCCGGGAGGGAGATGCAGCATCTCCGCCCCTGCAAACCGAAGAAAAGGGGAAGCCCAGGCGGCGCCTAACAGCGGGAGGACGAGCAGACACGCCCGCCCACCTGCCTGCCTGCCTTCCTGCCCCACTCCTTCTCTGCCCTGCGGCGCCATCCCGCCCCAAGGGGGCCTCTGGTACCGCCGCGATGAGCTGCTCCAGCCCACCACCTTCCTCCGGCGCTCCTTCTCCCCCGCCCAGAGAGGAGGCGGCAGCGGCGGCTGCTCCTTTCACGGCGGCCCCGCGGATCTTTTATGCGGCGACGAGCCGCGGATCGCACCGGTTGGATGCGCCTCTCCCCGCGGGAGGCCACACCCTAGAAGCCACCCTGCAGTCACTCCAGGCCGGGAAGGAGAAGGCCCCCGCCTTCCGAGGGAGAGATGCGGGGAGGAATAGAGAAGCCACCCGACTCCCCAACATGGCGCCCTCACAGGGCACTCCTCATTTTACGCCTTCCGCCGCCCTCATGGAGAGGTTGCTCGACACCCCCCCCCCGCCTGGCACGGGTGAATAAAGGGGAAGCCGGGCGGGCTAAGGGAAGGGAGGGGACGGGGCCGCAGCTCCTTCCCCCTGCCCGTCTCATACGAAGGCTTCCCAACGCCAACCCCCCGCCCGCTCCAACGCGATAATAACCCCAGCGCTCCGGATGCGTGGAGAAAGGGGCACCGCCCCACGGCTTCACCTGCCACCGCCTAGCTCCGGACAGAGGGGCTCCCTCCCAAAGCCGCACTACTTCCTCCCGCTCCCCACAAGGGGAGGCGCGGGAGGCTGCCCAGGCAGGTGGGGCCGGCCGCACCTGTGCGAGGGCTGAAGGAGAGAAGGCTTCCGCCGCCGCCAGAGAATGAATGGCTCTTCCCCAGCAGGCCCCTCGGACGAGTCAGTCCGGCGGAGGGCCGGTAGCCGCCGCCCTTCTGCCCCAGGAAGAACGGGGCCGGCGAGCCACCGCCTTACCCTCGTCTTCCCCTTTCCTCCCTTGCGGTCTCCTGTGCCCACTCAGCGGGTCCTGCTGCCCCACCTACGGTTCCGCAGCAAGAAAGGAGGGCGATCACAAGGCAGGTCGCCACAGAGCGTCCTGTAGGCCGTTACCTGCGAGGTTAAGGGTACCAGAGTCTCTAGGCGGGTGGACCGGCGCCGACTGTGCCTATATCGGAGCTCGCTCCGCTGCAGCCTCACTCTCGCTCTCTCAGCGCCACACACAGGGTCTCCGCCAATCACCGCGTCGCAACGCACGGGCAACACAGAGCCATGACGTCAAACGATACCATGGCAACCGCGCGCGGGCACGCGCCTGCGCCTACACTTTTCATCTCTCTCTCTCTCCCTCTCCTCCGACCCCCCCCCCACCGTTTTCTGTCCCTTCGTTTCTCGTTCCTACCGATGCGATGACTGCTCTAATCTAACCGCCGCCAGCGTGCGCTCGTTCGCGCGGCGTATCGGCCACGCCTTAACCCTGCTGTTACCCTGTCCCGACGACGGGGTACGCGCGTACGCGCGCTTAGATTCTCCCCCCCCCCCCAGTCTACCGCAGAGCGTGTTCGCACGCGCATGCGAGAGGGCCGCGCCTCTTCCCAGTGCAGCCGGCAGGTCAGCTCCTGAGCGGGTGGAGAAGGGCAGTGGGCCTCCGCTCTGTCTTTTTCGGGCCCGTAATCTCTACGTTACCGGCTTTGCCCATTCCTAATATTTTAATAGTGGAGGCAAAGTGGACCCTCGCGCCCGGAGGCGACAGAAACGCCCGACGCCTCCTTCCCTCAGATGCGCGCGTGGCCATCGCTCGACTCTCTTTTCCGGGTTTCCAGCCTTGGAGGCCTTGAGCCAAGTCTCAGTCATTCAAGGCCACAGAGGAAGTTCTCTCAGGTCCCTTTTCAACGGTTTGCTATATTTGCTACATGTTTGAAAGGGCAGGAAAAACGTGCGGGCGTAACGGGAGGCTCAGGCCTAACGCTGCGATCCGTTTTACTTTTTAAATTAAGCTGTGGAGCCATCTTGGGAAATGTACCGATCCCAGTACAGTATAGTTGACCAAATACAAAAGGTGACCTTGGCCGTTTTCAGTTGTTTTTTCAGTCTTTTATTATGTGTTGTATATGAACTTGCTCCAAAGGGCTTGGTGTTTATCCATGTGTGTCTGAATATTAAAGTTCCAGTTTAAACTGCAGTGTTATGAAGAAATTATTAACACTGCTAAAGTGCACTTTTTATGTTATCTTTGTGATAGAAAATGAAAGGAAATAATGCTTTTGAATTCCATAAATAAAAATACAATATTTGAGAAGCAATCCACATTTACATTGCACAGATTTAAACTATTTCATGCTGCCATGTAAATGATTAAAAATTGTATAATGCACTAATCTTTTGTTAATTACCTTAGGATTTTAAAATGTTGAAGTCCTGTAAATGGCAAAGATCTTAACAAAATGAAAAAAGAAAAAATGGACAGAAATACAAATTAAACTGTTAATTTTAATAAAGTATGGTAGCTTTAATGTTACAGCTTCCTAATGGATTCTTGTACACTTGTGAGAAAGGTCTATTAAAAACCTCATAAAGCTTTGAAAGCAGATATTTGTTATCCCCTAACTTTCATTTGATGACAAAAAAGTGTACGCAAGCAAGACATAGGTTAACCAAGAATTTAAAAACTACCACATATAAAGGGCCCTCACTAAAAATGCTGCTATGCATAATATCAGAATTGTTTGAAGTGGTCATTAAGTTTGATTATTTGCATTTATGAAGGTATTCATACCTCTTAATGTGTACAGCAAATACTCCAACTTGACTCTGTTCATGTTTATTGGAATTCAGTTCTCAGATTTCCTAGCCAATGCAATCAACATGCCTGAAGACCAACAGATTGGTGAAAACTGTCTTGTAGAAAGAAACCTCACAATTATTTGCATTTCTAAGTTCAGCTGGCATAGCTACTTTGAATACAGTAAGACCATTTTAATTTTCAAACATGTCAATATTTGATTTCCATTTCAGTCCTAGACAAAAAATTTTTAAAGTAAAAAAAAAATTGATTTAACAGATTGCCAAAAAATAGTTTGAGGGATTTGGAGACTTTCAAGCCTGGCATTGTATTTCTTATTCCATAAAGATAATATTAAAATAATACTTGCTTAAAAGGTTTTTGGAAATACTCTTATTTGCTATTTATTTGCCCAAGAAGTGTAGTGTTCTTAGATAGGCCTATTTTCTTTCATTCAGGTGTTGCTGTACACTAACAGAAAAGGAAAAAAGAATATGTCTGAAATGATTAAGTTAAATGTCTTCATCAGGGACAAGAAATCTTTGTACCTTTTTTGGGCCCCTGAAAAGGAATTTAATCAAGAATGTGCTTTAAAAATGAATTGAAAATGCAAGAATTATAAAAAGAACCCTTTTATTTAAGTAAAGGTATTTGAAAAATGTTGAATACTGTATTATTTTAGAAATCTGTACTTTATTGCATTTTCCTTAGCTTCTCTGAATGTGTGAATGTCATTTATATAAAGAGAATCCTTATTTCATTTTCTTAGCACCTAGCAAATTACTGAGGGAATATAGTTGTTCTTACAAAAACCAACACCATTTATTGATTTAGAGTATATGTCACTGACCTCTATTGGGTAATTTCAACGATGTTTTGAAATATGTTATTTTTTTCACCCTTACTGTATGACCTGTTCCTCAGGAAATTGCTTTTCTCTAGTTACATTTGCTTTAAATTATCTTTTCTCATATGCTCTTACTTGTTTGTATCTTAATGTAGAGCTGTCATACCTGGACTGCATGAATATAGATGACCACTGGGTGGAAACAAAGATACACAGAAAACTTTAATATACTGCCATCTTGTGGCTATCTGAATCTATGTTTGGTAGCTCTACTTAAATGTCAGTGCTGAGAGAGAATATTTATATCTCAGGATTAAAATGAGGGGTCCTTGGTGTTCTCTGAGTTTGATTGTTTTCTTGCAGACATTTCATTACCCAAACTACGTAACATAATCAGTGCTAGTGGAGAATGAGGTTTGCTTTCATTTTATATTCTAGGGCTTTGCCCTGTCAGTATGGGTGGGGGTAGTCTTGGGCTGTTGGTTGGGCTGTTTACTCTTTAGTTGAGCTTTGGTTGGGATGTTTAGCTTGTTTGGTAGTTCCTTGATTGAGACATTATTTGCTTTTTGATTCTTAATCTCACGCTAATCTTGGTGTTACTCTCTGCTCATCTGGGTGTTTATTGCTGGTGAGGAGATGTTCTGATCTAGCAGATCGCAATAGCAGAGCCCATCCATGAACACCCACTAGCAGTCAAAATAAATAGTGAAACCATAGTTTCAACTGGTAAACTGCCCATCCTAGACCAAGCCAAGTCCCTAAAACACTAGAGAATTCCTGGAAGCATAGTACCCTGACAAATCAGCCATCAACAGGCACATAGGAATAAACAATTTCTTTTTACCATTCAAAAGAGACAATCAACAAACCAAAGTCAGACCAGAACACTTCCTTATCAGCAATCATATTGTGAAGCATGCAGACGACATGGCAGTCCGTCTGGTAAACTCACAAGATTCCTTTTTCTTGCCATGCACATGTAAACAGTACATAACCCGAACTATACTTTGTCATATATATGGGCATATGCATAATTCTGTATTTATTTTTGTCATACGTAGTGTTCATTGGTGGTGACCCTTTGAGAGCTGAATGTAATGAAATTTCATTTTAATGTATGCCGATTAGTGTACATTCAAAGTAACAATAAAGTTATTCTATTCTAATAAACACCCAGATGAGCAGAGATTAATGCCAAGATTGACATGAGACTAATAATCAAGAAGCAAACAATAACCCAATCAAGGAATTGCCAAACAAGCTAATAATAAACAGCCCAAATGAAGAACCACGGAGAACACTCCCACCAGCACTCATAGGGCATGCCACTACTAGAGTATAAAATGAGAGCAAGCCCCACTCTCTACTAGCACTGATGTTACCTAGTTTGGGTAATGAAGCATCTGCAAGAAAACAACCAAGCTCTGAGACCATAACGATCCCTTAAATGTCAGTGAATGGAAAAAAACCTTGACTGCTATCTAGATGATTTATTTGCAGTTCTGCTTTCCACTGTCTGATAATCAGGTACATATAATAGAAATTTGAATTAGGAATACAGCAAGCTGCCTTGTAATTGGACTAACTAGGAATATATTTTGAGCAAATGTTGTTCTCTGTCTGCTTTTTTAAAAGTACCAAAGGTTAAACCTAGTCTATTAACTTGCATTTTATCCCTGACTTATACTTCATTTTATTATTCTGTTACAACTTTTAGTTAGTAGCTGCTTGCTAACTATATGTATACTTACATGGATAAAAAAAACTAATGCAGGCAGTAATTTCACTAAAAATAACTCTAGGCATACTACTATCTTAATTACACTTCCAGGAAGTTAAATTGCATAAGAATTTTGTTGGCTGTTCTTCATGCATTTGTATGGGAACAGTCTCACAGACATCATATGTAAGATAGCAGGATATTCCACCCCAGGATTGAGGTCATACTATACCAAATAGTCTCCGTGTTTGCTTTGAGCTACCAGAGTCTTCTGATGCATTTAGCCAGTGAACACTTTTTCTTGTTTGTTACAAGTTACTCAAGTACATTTATTTCATTTACTTTTTTTGAAAAAATGAAGACATTAAAATCTTGCCCTGAACATTAAAGACACCAGGCTGAACAGTTGTTCAGTAGTTTTTGATTTTTCAAGACCTGATAGTCATCAACATGCCAAGATTATCTGTCAGTAAGTGCTTTGACTTCTTGTAACCTCATGCTTGTTTCATGAGGACCACACATCAGAGGTTTCCCAACCTTTTGGGCACCAGGGACCGGTTACGTGGAGAGAGGTTTTTCCATGGACCAGAGGGGGCGTGGTTTTGTGTTCTGCCTGCACCCTGCAGATGGGGCTTTGCTTGTTTGTGCGGATCGGTTGCTGGCATGGCGTGGCCTGATACTGGTCCACGGACTGAGGGTTGGGGACCCCTGCTCTACAATATAACTTTTTTTGTAAGAGGAACTGCAAAGTAATGCAAATAGACATTAGAAAAGACAAAGGCTGTAAATAACTGTTGTGCACACTCAGATCTCACAGAAATACAAAGAGCTTAATCACATTGATCCATTCCCCCCAAATAAATTGTATTTGCAATTGTTAATACTTATTGTTTAATCTATTTGTTGTTTTAAAATTTCAATAAAATGATTTTAAAATATGGTTATTAGCTTACAGATTGACAATGAACATACCCATTATTCTGTCTAAATAAAGTTGAAAATAAGACTTTATACCTTTAACTATAGAGGAAAGCAGCATCTTCTTATCCATTTAAAAGGTGTATATATTTACAGGCACCAGGGAAATCAGGAGATTCGGGCTGTTCAAGTGGGTATAAAGATTTATTGTAAGCTTAAGCTTTCTACAAGAATCTGAACTATAATTTGGCGGTAGATAAGGAATTCACAGTGGGCTGGACTTAGATCTCTTATGGGCATAAAGGGACTCGTAACTGATGACATGTTTGGCCCCTCCCTCAGGCTCAGCCTAGTCATCTCCTACATCTGTCTTCCAGCTTTTGCCCATCAAAAATGGAAGCCACATTTTACTTGTGTCAGAAAGCAGCATCTTTTGTGAAGCCCTGATAAAATCTGGTACTTTATAAGGTATTTCTGTGTAACAGTGAGTGTGGATGTAGAACACACAGACTTTCAACATTTTACTGACATACAGTGGGGCAAAAAAGTATTTAGTCAGCTTGTTTGTATGTGGTCACCTACAAACAAGCAAGATTTCTGGCTCTCACAGACCTGTAACTTCTTCTTTAAGAGGCTCTTCTATCCTCCACTCATTACCTGTATTAATGGCACCTGTTTGAATTTGTTGTCAGTATAAAAGACACCTGTCCACAACCTCAAACAGTCACACTCCAAACTCCACTATGGTGAAGACCAAAGAGCTGTCGAAGGACACCAGAAACAAAATTGTAGACCTGCACCAGGCTGGGAAGACTGAATCTGCAATAGGCAAGCAGCTTGGTATGAAGAAATCAACTGTGGGAGCAATAATTAGAAAATGGAAGACATACAAGACCACTGATAATCTCCCTCGATCTGGGGCTCCACACAAGATCTCACCCCATGAGGGCAACATGATCACAAGAACGGTGAGCAAAAATCCCAGAACCACACGGGGGGGGGGGACCTAGTGAATGACCTGCAGAGAACTGGGACCAGCGTAACAAAGGCAACCATCAGTAACACACTACGCCACCAGGGACTCAGATCCTGCAGTGCCAGATGTGTCCCCCTGCTTAAGCCAGTACATGTCCGGGCCCGTCTGAAGTTTGCTAGAGAGCATTTGGGTGATCCAGAAGAGGATTGGGAGAATGTCATATGGTCAGATGAAACCAAAGTAGAACTGTTTGGTAGAAACATAACTCGTGTTTGGAGGAGAGAGAATGCTTAGTTGCATCCAAAGAACACCATGCCTACTGTGAAGCATGGGGGTGGCAACATCACGCTTTGGGGCTGTTTCTCTGCAAAGGGCCATGGACGACTGATCCATGTACAGGAAAGAATGAATGGGGCCATGTATCATGAGATTTTGAGTGCAAACCTCCTTCCATCAGCAAGGGCATTGAAGATGAAACGTGGCTGGGTCTTTCAGCATGACAATGATTCCAAACACACCGCCTGGGCAACAAAGGAGTGGCTTCGTAAGAAGCATTTCAAGGTCCTGGAGTGGCCTAGCCAGTCTCCAGATCTCAACCCCATAGAAAACCTTTGGAGGGAGTTGAAAGTCCGTGTTGCCCAGCGACAGCCCAAAAACATCACTGCTCTAGAGGAGATCTACATGGAGGAATGGGCCAAAATACCAGCAACTGTGTGCCAACCTTGTGAAGATTTACAGAAAACGTTTGACCTCTGTCATTGCCAACAAAGGATATATAACAAAGTATTGAACTTTTGATATTGACCACATACTTATTTTCCATCATAATTTGCAAATAAATTTTTCCAAATCAAACAATGTGATTGTCAGGATTTGTTTTCTCATTTTGTCTCTCATAGTTGAGGTCTACCTATGATGACAGTTATAGGCCTTTCTCATCTTTTTAAGTGGGAGAACTTGCACAATTGGTGGCTGACTAAATACTTTTTTGCCCCACTGTACTTGAGAAGGATATAATGAGGGGAAAGGGCATTAATGAGCTTTAGCTAATCTTGTTGGTTTTACACAAACTGGTATCAAATGTAATGAGAAATATAATTGGGCAGATGTTACTGCAATCATCGTCTGCTAGCAAGTTTACCTTAAACATTTGATTGGCCTGTATGGAAAGAAAATGAAGTACAAACTAGGATTTTAGCTACTATAGCTGTTTATACATGTAAGATCTTCAGATAATGATTTACAAAAATCAAATTAATGTGAAACATTCCATGGATAGGTTACATATCAAATTAATGGGATCCTCGGGATAATAGAATGAATAGAAACCCAGATGCTTACAAATATTTTTTGTATAGTAAGCAAATGAGAACACTTTAGCACTTTTATCTAAATCTACTAAGATGGCAGAATATGCTTTCAATTTCTGCAGAGAAATGTTTTAAAGAATGTCAGTGTTTCAGCAATTTAAATAGTTGTCAATATTTAACATAACGGCCACTAGAACTTTTCAGAAAGGAATGGTATGATTGGCAGATTTTTCTATCCATGAGCTATTTTAAATCTGCATGTAATTTTTATATCTGAATAAATACTGATGTAGAAATTAAGAAAATACTCTCTAATCGGATGATACGGATTAAAAGTAGAAACAAATACATGGAAAATTGGTGCATTGTTCTCAGACCAAAATTGAGCTCCCTCCCTTTTGTTTTGTCTTTGCTTCATATATTCTGTTTTCTTGCTCATTTCCAAATCTCTTGCACAAGAAAATAACTGAAAATTTATTTAAGTGATATTTCTAAAAATATTAGGGGGAAAGATTATTTACCTAAATTTAGAATTGGAACTCAAATGAAATACGGGTAGAAAGTTCAGGTAGTACTTTGTCATGTAAGTAATGCTATGTAAGTAATATTGAAGTACAGGTAGAAAAAATAGAAATATTACATGACATTAACTGAATGTAAAATTATTTTACTAACAATGGCAATAAATATTTGAAGTTCTTAGTGAAGTTCACTCAAGGACTAAACATAAATGTTAAACAACTGAATAATAATCTCTTTTTAGAATTAATTACTATTAGGACAGAAGTAATTGTTCCAGAAACATACTATATTTTTAGGTACATTTATTTCAGAAGAAATTGAGACACTCAGCTAGGATATACTTCGGAATGAATACTTTAAAACTACTCTGGATGAAATTATCCATTAAATGACAGGGACAGAATCATATACTGTACATAACATCCTGAGCAGTGAACTTTGTTATGATTATGACTACTATCAGTATCGTGTATATATCTTGCTGCCTCCCCAAACAAAAAAATAATCTGAATATACATTTAAGTTATAATGTGAATAGCAGTATCATATGGTAAAGTGTTTCTTTGGCTTGCTCAGGCTTATCTTTGCTGATCACATAGCACAAAGATTGCCATCTTGCCCATCCCATTAACAATACAAATCCACACTAATCTTTTTAGCTGTGTTCCAGTCTTGGGAAAGTTGAAGAAAGCTATTATTAAGGAAAGTCTATAATCTTGCTTATGTGAGACCAATCTTCTTAACTGAGTTCAATGCAGACTGCATTTGTGCCATGTTCTAAAATCTATGTCTCTTGTTCTAGAGTACAAATGCAAAACTGTGAGGATTGGATCTAGGCTTTTGTAATATTTCACAAACCAGTTACAGAGTCACAGCACGTCAAATATTGGCTAATAAAAAACTGGGTAAATAAATCATTCCCTATATGCCTAAGAGCAACACTTAGTACAAGTCATGCCGGAAATAAAATTGAGCAATCTTGAACTTTCTACACATCAACTGTATGTTTTAAAGTTTGAAAGAGGCTTTCAGTAACTTGTTCATTCTCTCCACTGTGAAACCAGAGAGTAGGAGGCAACAGAGCTTTGCAGGAATATAAGTAATAAATGTTGAGGGATCACTCATGAAGATGTGAATTATGGTAACAGATAAGAACCAACCTTCTATAACATAAAATGCATTACGTTAGACTTCAGATGAACAGGCAAGCAGGGTTGTATTTGTTTTAAATTTTGTGAACTTAAAAATACATTATGAATCTTGTGAGAACATAGCTTTGAAAACTGTGTTCTTATCCTGGGATCCAGAGACATTTATTTATGAGACTTATATACAGCTTTAAGTGCAAGCACTCTCTAAGCGGTGTACACCAGTAAGCAATGTATATATATATATATATATTTACATTGCCCCCAACAATCTGGGTCCTCATTTTACCGACCCCGGAAGGATGGAAGGCTGAGTCAACCTTGAGCCGGTGAGATTTGAACCGCTGACCTGCTGAACACAGTCAGCTAAAGTGGCCTGCAGTACTGCACTCTAACTGCTGCGCCACCTCGGCTCACTTGCCTCAATTGTCATTGCACCTATGCCCTTTTCATAGTATAAAGTGAAGTTATGCAAACTTTTGGAAAGGGGAACATATGTGGAGTTTTGAGATCGGGTGTTTGCTCTCGCATTATGGTTCCTAGAGGAGCAAATTGCCCCCTCACTAAATGGCTGCCATTGGAGGGCCAGTCACAAAGGACCAGTGTACTAGCACTCTTCCTTCCTTCCTTCCTTCCTTCCTTCCTTCCTTCCTTCCTTCCTTCCTTCCTTCCTTCCTTCCTTCCTTCCTTCCTTCCTTCCTTCCCCAAATCCCCCTTCTCCTATTTTCAGGACACCGTTCTACCCTAACTTATCTTTGGCGTTTTTCTAGGCAAGCAGATACCATCATAGAAAACACAGAGTCCATTGTTTTTATTTTTGAAGAAAACGTGGCCGTTTCGAATCAGAATCATTTATGGAAACGGTGATGCTAGAAATGGTTGTTGTGCAGAAGGCAAGCTGCCCGTTTGACAAGAAGTAATTAAAAATGTGTAAAACTCCAGGTGAGGCAGGCAGCCTGGAAAGTGCCAAGGGATCCATCCATCTGTTTTTGCCCTGATCCCTCTGTAATATTTATGAATGAAATGGGCAAGATAGTATTTTGTGAAATATGTTTACTGCTCCCTG